TGGATTAGAGGGTAAAGAGTAGATAGATAGGCCAGGACAGAAAGAGAAGTGATGGTGTAACCGTTTTCGGCATAACATTTGTCGAGCGATTGACTTCACTTGTCTCTTTGACGAGTTCGTAGCTTGGTGCGGCGAATGGCAAAACTCACTGATGATGCCGACTACGATGACTTCATTTGTCTCTTTGACGAGTTCGTATCTTGGTGCGGAGAATGGCAAGGCTCACTGATGATGCCGACTACGAGGTTTGTCGAGGGATTGGCTTCACTTTTCTCTTTGACGAGTTCGTAGCTTGGTGCGGCGAATGGCAAAACTCACTGATGATGCCGACTACGATGCCGGCGAAAACGAGTTCGTAGCTTGGTGCGGCGAATGGCAAAACTCACTGATGATGCCGACTACGATGCCGGCGAAACGTGCGTTCGTAGCTTGGTGCGGAGAATGGCAAAACTCACTGATGATGCCGACTACGATGCCGGCGAAACGTTTGAAAATGTCTTGGTGCGGAGAATGGCAAGTCTCACTGATGATGCCGACTACGATGCCGGCGAAACGTCTGAGAATGTTAGTCCACTATCAGATGCTGGGAATCATGACAACTACTATGGCAGACGAATTCGGACTAGATGTGTTCTACATAGTCATCCTGACAACAAGACCAAGTTGCGACAACGAGGTCAACCCACTTCTAAGGCTAAGTGAAGTTCGCTGACATCCCTAGACCTATTCATATAATTGTGGTAAAATTCAACTGTGTACTTCATTAGCTTATGCGGCCTAAGGTGAATACAGTTCTTATTTATGTTCTACTGATAGTCTATGATCTACTGGTTATGCATACAAAAGCACACTGAAATAGCCCAGTTAGAATATGTGAAGAAAAAAATCTAAAAAAAAAAATTCTTATAAATTCAGTATTCTCATTTTGGTAAGTTTGCCATAGATTCCTATATGAGCATCAAGGGATAATAAAACGAGACTAAAATTAAACAATTTTGGCAAATAAAATAGGAAATT